CCTGCTTGGGAAGTGTTTCGCTATGAAGGACCTTGGTGAAGCTGCCTATATCCTAGGGATAAGGATTTTGAGAAACAGGAGTAAAAGACTAATTGGACTTAGTCAAAGCACCTATGTGGACAAAGTGTTGAAAAGATTCAACATGCATAACTCCAAGAAAGGTGAGTTACCCATTCAGAGTAATGCCAGATTGAGTAAGACACAAAGCCCTAGTACTGAGGCTGAGATAGCAGAAATGAGTCGACTACCTTATGCTTCAGCTGTAGGATCGATCATGTATGCTATGACGTGTACTCGACCTGATGTAGCCTTTGCTTTGAGCATGGTTAGCAGGTATCAGGGGAACCCTGGCAAGGAACACTGGACTGCGGTAAAGAATATCCTCAAGTACCTGCGAAGGACTAAGGACTGGGTCCTTACCTTCGGTGGGAGTGATGACTTGAGAGTTGTAGGGTATAGTGATGCTAGCTTCCAACTGATAGGGATAATTTCCGCTCTCAGTCGGGCTGGGTCTTTACCTTAAACGGAGGAGCAATCACTTGGAAGAGTTCCAAGCAGGAGACAGTGGCTGATTCCACTTGTGAATCAGAGTATATAGCAGCAAGCGAGGCAGCAAAGGAGGCTATATGGCTAAAGAACTTCATCGGAGACCTTGGAGTTGTACCAGCTATAAAAGAGCCGATGGAGATTTTCTGTGACAGCAATAGTGCGGTTGCCTTAGCCAAGGAACCAAGAGATCATGGGAGATCCAGACACATTGACAGAAAATATCACTTCATCAGACATCGAATAGAAGAAGGAATCCTCGTGGCGAAGAGGGTATCATCGGATGAGAACCCAGCAGATCCCCTCACGAAGGGACTGAGTAGGGTTAAGCATCTCCAGCATGCTCGGAGCATAGGGCTGAAGGATGATATAAGTTTTAGTAGTTAGATAAATTATGAAATTTGTAAAGTGTAATTGACATTTGATGATGAATAAAAGGTGTTTTATTTATGAGTAAAGTGTTGCTATCTCTTGTCGATCGTTTACTTTATTTCTTTTTGCATGTTTTGACTTCCAGAATAATTATGTTTGGTATATCATATTATTCAAACCTCCATAGTCGGTCATATGTCGGAAGTAGGTATGAATCAAGACTGTCATGATTGGTTGCAGAGGTCTAAGGTGTTGGACATGGCTACAACAATCATGAGTGCTCATAAGTTCTGAGCATTGGACTCAACCCACGCTCACTGGAATCACTTCATGGAATTCTATCTCGAGTGATCGTGAGACGGTAATATCATATAAGTCTTCAAACCTAGAGATATGATTTGTTACTTACAAGTTGGTTATGCATTGATTGTACGAAAACGCATTGGTAACTCGATGTTATAAAACGTGCTTTTGTGTGTAATTCAATGAGTGATAGAACAAACATATGAGTCGAAGTTTATCTGTTCCTTCTTGGATTAGAAGCTGATATATGGGCCCCTCGATGATTTTGTTTTGACCTATGTACCGGGCCCGGTCAGAACTAAATTGATGTGTTCAGTTAAGTTCTATGTCAAACAAATCAGAAATCGGGAAACAAATGTTGCACAATAAGCAAGACCATGTTCCATGTATTTGTCCGGCTGATATCTAGAACAGAGGATTATATGATCACTTATCTTAAATGGCGCGTTCTGGTTCAATAGAGTTTAAAGAGCTACGATTGCTGATCGGTTCCTGAAGTCATACTTGCAACTATAGTTATTAGACTTATCCAAGTGGGAGACTGTTGGATATAGTGTCTAAGTTCATAACTATATTTGGTATGTACTTGACCCGACCCGGCATGGTCCATTTGGGTTGCACTTCACCCGAACAATTTATGGATAATATTTGAGAATAGTACAAGTTATGATTTATTAATATATTATAAGTTCTAATATATTAATATAAGATCATATTATTTAATTAGTAGTGATCTATAATTAATCTAGGATTAATTTAGAGATCAAAGATATTACTAATTAAATATGGGCTTCTATATTTATATAGTGTGGGCTAAAGCTTATTTGGAATGGGCTAGGCTTGCATGGAAAAGTCCATGGATCTCATGGAAATGAAGAGACATGGGTTTTAGGGATGTAACCCTAATCCTCCACACTATATAAAGGAGGCTTTGGTTCTTGAAATGACTAGTTGACACTTGTTGAGGTGAGGGCAAATTTCAAGATAGTAGTGACTATTCTCTCAAAGTTCCAAGTTTGTGGTGATTTGTGATTTCCAAATGAGGCATCCACACTATTGGTGCTAGGCTCAAAAACTCCAAGCAATCAACTACAACTTCAAGGTAAGTATTTCTTCTAGCTTTATTTGATTCATGTTCCCCATGCCATGCTAGCTAGGATATAAACCTTGGAAAATCAATTATTTGCATGTATCTTAGACAAACATAGATTCAAGGTTTATTAGGGTTGCATGTACACTTAGGAAGTGTTAGAATGCTCAAAACCCAACAGACGTATGATAGATGATTGTCTTTGTAATATCATCTAGGTTTGCTACTACCTGATATGTTATATGTTAGCATGATATGTTGTATGCGATAGTAGTCGAGTTCGGTTGTTAGGACCGGAGGGTAGTCAGACACCCCAGATACGTCTGACAGTATGTGATGTTATGTTTATATGCTAGCATGACCTGTTAAATGAGTTAGAGGTAGTAGGAGGGGAGCAGTCCACGAGTTCGGTTGTTAGGACCGAAGGGTAGTTCAGACACCCCAGATATGTCTGATAATATGTTATGTTATGATATGTGATAGTAGTAGTAATAGGGGTGAAATAGTCCCCGAGGTTCGGTCGTTAGGACCGAAGGGTAGTCAGCACCCCAGAATGGCTTGACATGGGTAGTCAGTACCCCAGAATGGCTTGACACGGGTAGGACGGCACCCCAAAATGGCCGCATGGGTAGGTCGGCACCCCAGAAGGGCCGTACCGGGTAGTCAGGCACCCCAGAATAGCCTGGCAGTATGTATGCTATGTGATTGTATGGTATGTGGTATGATGGGGGAACTCACTAAGCTTTGTGCTTACGGGTTTCAGTTTTGGTTTTAGGTACTCAGTTTTCAAAAGAGGAGCTCGGGAAGATTGCAGTGCACACACCATAGACAGTTAGCCTAGGAATGTTTGACTCTGATAATGAGATTATGTTTTGAATTTAATACTCGAAAGTTATGTTATGACGTATGATACGTTTTTATAAATCTGGTTTTAGTAATGTTTAAAAAAAAAATTAGTCATGATTTTTGGGTCGTTACACTTTACATAAGAACCCTAAACCCCAACATGATTTGTGTTCATAGCTAAATATATTAGCAAACAAAGGAATTTATGTTTAAAACATATAGAACGTACATAAAATAAACTGAGACATATATGAAGTGGTTATTCAAAACCTTATTTCAACAAAAGTTAGAGATTTGCCTTTTCCCTCAAATTTTTATCCGATCTGATTAGAATACAATACATGAAAAGACCCATATTTGTTCTACAATAAAACTTACCATAAGATATAATGTCCATAATACATATCAATATAAAAGCTCTAGTGTGCCCCTATTTATATTACAAGAATTGATCAACATCATCATATTGACAGCATCTTATGTTAATATGCCAAAGAGGTTAACTCGGTCATTTATATTAAATATTATGAGGTTTGGGTTCGGTTGAAAGGTTATTTCAGGTTGTAGTTACTTTTTACTAAGACAAGAAGCCTTCTTAATAACAGTTATAATATGTATCTTAAATAAAAAGTATAGGAACTCACCCTTAATCGCATTATTATTTTGACTAATCTTGAATACTTTAGAAGCAATGTTATACATGTATGACTTGCGCCTATACTCATGTTGAATCCAACCCTAATGAAGAATCTAAGACCTGATATAGTAGGTTCTTGGTAGAACTGCAAGTTGTTATCACTTCCTTTCAACATGAAGAATCCAATAACCAAAAAAGGTTAGTTTTTTAGAAAGATAGAAAATATAAGAGCACCTAGAAAGAATAAAGCTTTTAATTAAAAACAATTGGTTGCCAATGATAAAGATTAAGAATTACCCATTACCTTTCCTGCGTTTGAGAAGGACTCATGAACATCATATTACATTGCCTTAATCTGCAAACAACAAATGGAATTTTTATGGAACACAATAGTCAGACAAAGTCAAAATGATAATATTCATCTAAAATATGCACCTGGTAAGTAAAAGACAATCCTTTGGTCCCTTCATGGATCAGCCTTAGGCTCCACCACTTCTTTTATATCTTTCAGTATCCTGCTACTTAAATAACTAACAGTACGACTATGGAATAAATCAAGGGTAAACACTGAGTAAAGCTTTTACATCTTCATTCCAATTACTTGTGAACCGCGATGAGAAGATAAATGACACTTTCACCTTCATTTTGATTACCTATGAATCCAGGTGAGAAGATAGAGGACATTCACCTTCATTAGAACAAAATGAACACCATAACAAATAAAAATCACAGTTAATAAGCTTGTTTTTACCATTATTTACACTTAATATCATTTTAGGCTATGTACCTTTCTATGCATAACAACAACATAATTAAATTCTTCCATACATTGCTAATGTATATACATTGATATCAACTGAATGGTTAAATTATCAACTTCAAATGGATTTGGAACTCTAAAACAAAAGGTAGTTACTGATTTATTGTAAAACAAAGATCAACAATCAACAATCTAAAAAATCAAAGCAAGAATAAAACACCTTGAGAAAGCCATTGTTCCCTATGAACATCAAGCTTGTTGGTCATAAGAACATGGATTCAATTGTCAAAATTGTGAAAATAACAAGAAAAAAATAAATAAAATTAGGTTAATTGATTCTGCTCATAAGAACATAGATTCAATTGTCCATCTAACCTTCTTTCGAAATCTAATCCAGTCAATGAAATTACGAGAGAGAGAGAGAGAGAGAGAGAGAGAGAGACCAAATGATATGGAAAGGAGGAGGCGACGTCGGTCAATGGGAGGACGAACCTTACCACAGGCATGTTGCCGTTTTTGTGATTTCACCGCAAGTAAGAAGTGGCGACGGTATCCAGGCGAAGGAATTCCTTCGCCATGACAAATTCTTCTCGGACTTTGTTGATGACATCCTCGTTGACTTGGATATAAATGGTGGTAGTCATTGAACTTTCCATTTCCCAGATCCTTGAAACTCTCATCTGGTACAAAAACCCTAAGTAGTAGAAATTGGATTTGGAGTTGATGAATTGGAGATTAGGGAAGGTTTAGGGCTTCGAGATGGAGGAGGAGAAAGGTGGTGAAACGATGGAAGAGGTTTGTTTGCATGTAATGGTCTACATGTCTTGTTACTCTATCACTCATAGTTTAGGATAAGTCACATTTTCACCCTTGTGGTTTGACGACATGTATTTATTTGATCAAATTTATCTACTTCTAACATATGTTGGTCAGTGACCATTGTTTTTTAGTTAGTATTTCAATGACAATATTGTGTCATCACTATATGCCATTTAGTTGGGTTAACGAAAAAAATTTAATGACCACTATTTTTTATCACTAAGCCTCTAATGCAGTGACCATTTTTTTTGGTCATTAAAGCATCCAATAGAGCAACTATTATTTTTAGTCATTAAACTAGCTATGATATTAAGTAAAGACTCATTTTATTTTACGGTTAGTGACCGGTGAGTGACAACAATTATAGAACTGGTCACTAAACTTATAGCATTACCAAAATTCAGTGACGACTTAATATATGGTCACTAAATGATGATGTTAGTGACCAGATTTTAGGTGGTCACTAAAAAAGACTTTTCTTGTAGTGATCGTCCGGCAGGAAATTGTGGTTACAGATGGCTGTTGGATTTTCCTAACAGTATAGAATTTCTTATGAACATGAGCACCACCTTCTTTAAGGACATTGTGATTTAGGTTGGGGGCATTTGCCCGTTTGTTAGAAACCTCAGTCCCCAAGATTTTATTTTTGTTAGAAATGAGTACTGATAAACCATTTAAGTCTATATGCAGTTAACAAATTTTCCTGAAATATCAATCTCGTATTTTATGAAAGTGTATATAGTCAATGGTTTTAAAGTCTTCTCTTGGACTCAAATCCTGAATTAAATGGGCCTCACCCCATATGGTACGCTCTCCCTCTTTTGTCTTTTTAGGAGAAAAAGTAGAACCTTTGACTGCCTACACAACCCCCTCTTCCCCTGCTTCATTCAATTTAACATTTTTAATAGAGCAAAACCCACAACAAAATAACTTCAGCGTCATCAAGACATTCACGAAGGGGCATATTTGGTTTTAGTTTGTTGATTTATTTGTGGATTGTATAAATAGATTTTATTCGACTAAGCCGTGTTCAATGCTAAGTATTTTAGGTGTTATGTATTTTTTTTTTTTTTCTTGATCTTGTTGAGTAATTAATGACGAATCTACAATTTTAGCTTGCGAAAAATGGTTCAGACCATCCCTGTGATCCTCTATTGGTTTCTTTTGGTATTCTATAATTTGTTAAGGGTTTATGGGAATGCTGAAGGTATGTGCGGCTTTCTTCATGATTCCTGATTTTTATTTCATAAATAGAGATCTCATTAAAGATTTGATGTTTTGTTCTTAATCGTCATTAATTTAATGTCTTAAAGATGATCCCTATATTAACATTTCATATATGTATAATAGGTGATGTATTGTGGGTCCTAAAGGCACAATTAAGCGATCCTTGGAATGTTTTGCAAAGTTGGGATCCTACTACTGTAAGTCCATGTACTTGGTATCATGTTACCTGTGACAGTTGGAATGGATCAGTTACTAGAGTGTAAGCTTACCAACCTGTTGATCAACACTTGAAATTGTTTGATTTTTTGCATTTAATGAAGAAATTTGTGTTTTGGGGTTTGTGGAACACAGTGATCTTCAAAACGCAGGCTTGTCTGGTCAGTTAGTTAAGCAGCTTGGTCAACTTACATACTTACGGTACTTGTAAGTTTTCATATTTTGCGTTATCATACTATAATCCAAATTTTATTGTTTATGATTTTAAACTTACTAATATTGTGACATTTCTAAAATGATATGTTGTGGGACAGGGAGCTTTATGGAAATAACATCTCTGGAAAAATTCCAGAAGAGCTTGGAAACTTAACAAATTTGATGAGTTTGGATCTTTAAATGAACCAGTTAGAAGGTGGCATTCCAGACACATTAGGCAACCTTAAAAAACTCCGTTTCCTGTAATATTCAAGATTCTTTATTATGAATTTATCATAATTTACATTTAAATCATCGATTACGACCTTTTTTTTAATCATTTCTGTTTTTATTTTTGTGCAAGAATAGTCGTCTCAACAACAACAGTTTGACAGGAACTATTCCAGTTTCGTTAACTGGAATCGATTCGCTCCAAGTTCTGTGAGTGCCCGTTATTAGTGTTCCTTTTTTTTTTTTTGAGACAAATCCTCAGTGGTTAAAACTAAAAAAAGTTATTTAGGTGGTTAAACAAGAAAAGAAAAGAAACAACAGTTTGACGAGAACTATTCCAATTTCCTTAACTACTATAGATAAACTAGAAATTCTTTAAGTATAAAAGTGTGTTCATTTTGACTTGTATTCATTCATGGATAATTGTTGAAACAAAGCCAATATTGTTCGACTTATTTCTTTCACAGTGAACTATCAAACAACAATTTGAGCGGAGTTGTGCCTTTCTATGGCTCCTTTATGCGATTCATGCCCAACAGGTCTGCTGTTACTGTTAGTTAGATGATTCTTGAAACCATGTCATGCCTTCATGATGTTGACCTCAAACTTTTGTTCTTTCAGTTTTGCCAATAATCCCGACTTGACACTCGTGGTTGTTCCACAAGCTCAAGCTCCTTCACAATCTCCTTCAGGTATTTCCGATCTTCATTGATACTTTTTGTCATTAGTTGGACCTTATCATAGGCCTTTCTCTTGTAGTTCTTACACTTTACCACCACCCTATTTCCCAAATTTGGAGTGTTACATACTTACATCAACTTATTTTGTCCAACATATCAGCGTTCAAGATTCTAATTATTTAGAAGCAAAAATGATGAATCATACATGATTAGTAGACCTAGCAATCAGGTTGGGTTAGGGTTGGCGGGTTGGAAACCTCAACCCAACCCAACCCATATAACATGTTTAAGTATATGGGTTCGCAGGTTCACAAGTTAGTCGGTCGAACCCAACCAAATAAGCAACATGTTTTCAAAAAATAAGGTTTTTTCAACATAAAGTCATAAAATGATTAAAGTCATTAACATCAAAAAAAGAGGTTTTCAACATAAAGTTATAAGGTCATTAGCATCCAAATAAAATTAAAAAAATGAAAACATTCATACAAAGTGCAAGTGTTCAAAAATATCCAAAAACTAATTCGATAATTCATTCATGCTAGAATTCACATTTCTTCCTCGAGCACCGACTTCTTCATGATGATATTCAAATAAGGCACCACAAAATACTAGCCACACGATTATACAAATACGAAAATAATATAATGATACGAAATATTAAGAATACGGAAGGAAAAAGATTTCATTAATATATATATATATATATACACACACACACACACACACACACACGGATTGACGAGTTGACCCGCGAACCCAAACATGCAACCCAACCCAACCAATAAATAAACAAGTTTGTGAGTTCACAGGTTGGCGGGTTGGTGCGTCAAAAATCTCAACCCAAACTCATTTATTTTCGAGTTGGGACAGAGTCGGGTTCCGGGTTGGATCCAGAGTTGTCACCCCTAATGATTATGCCATTTTTATTACAAAATCCATTTTCATAAACGAAAATAGTACGCAAATCACATTCATCTTCTCATTAAGTCCATACCCTATTTTTTTAAAGGCGAATCCATACCATATCATATGCTTGCTACATGTCTCTGCTTGCCTATCAACATCTTTTGATTCGGATTATCCTAAAACTAATTGGTTAGGATACTCACAATCTCTAATTTGCATTACACATCATTTAAACTCAAATGAAAAAGAAAACTTCAAGAAATTGAGACTTACCCTTAGTATAACCCTGTAGCGTGGGAAAAACCTGCATCTTGATATCACGGAAAAGTCTGTATCATGTGTTAAGGAATTATCACTTCGTAATTGTGTGTGCAATTGTAATTTCAGTGGGCAACAACCACACTGGAGCTATTGTCGGAGCTATTGCTGCTGTTGTTGTTCTCTTTGTTGCACTTGCTTTGTGGCGGGACAGAAAACAACAACTACAAGTTGATTCTTTTACGTTTTTAGCTGAGGAGGACCCCAAAGTTCATCTGAGACAACTAAAGACGTTTTCTCTACGTGAACTACAAGCTGCAACCCATGATTTTAGCAACAGAAACATTCTTGGTGAAGGTGCATTTGGTAAAGTTTACAAAGGATTGTTGGCTGATGGTTCTCTGGTGGCTATTAAGAGACTCACAGATCATGTTCATGGTGGTGAATTGCACTTCCAGAAGGAGGTTGAGATAATAAGCATGGCGGTGCACCGGAATCTTCTTAGGCTGCAAGGATTTTGCATGACATCAACCGAACGGTTGCTTGTTTATCCATACATGGCCAATGGCAGTGTTGCATCTTTTCTAAGAGGTATTTTCACTACCTCTTGCCCTTCTTTAGTAAAATAACTTGACCTTTTATGTGAAATGCATGACATTTCAACCTTAAATAATAGAATCATTTTCATTTTTTTTATGAATTCTGAACAAATGAATATGTAAGTGTGGGTTCCACTCATTTGATTTTGAATATGAAGAGTAGAGGGAGGTAAACGATATGCATGACATAGCCTGTGTTTCATAAGCACGACGGACTGAATTGCACTTGAGAAGCTTTCTAGGGAAATTTTTTATGATGAGAACAATGGCGTTCACGTCTTTTTTACAAAAGAGACAGAGCTAGAGTATACGTCCCTGCCTAGTGCCTACCTTGTTCCACCTTTTTGGATGGGACAAAAGGTGCAAATTTTGTCATTGACATCAGTTTCACTCCTATTCCAATATGACAACTTGTTATTTCTTGTCATGTTCCTTATATTACCTACCTATAAGATGAGGTCTTAAGACTTTAGGCAATAGTACCTAACAAGATAATTGATAAATGACCGTAGATCGACCAGATAGACAACCTGCACTTGATTGGCCGACCAGGAAACAAATTGCACTTGGATCCGCAAGGGGCCTTGCCTATCTGCATGATCATTGTGACCCTAAGATCATTCACCGTGATGTGAAAGCCTCAAATATCTTGTTGGATGAGGAGTTTGAAGCAGTTGTCGCAGACTTTGGATTGGCGAAACTCATGAACTACAATGATACTCATGTTACAACAGCCGTTTGTGGTACAATTGGACACATAGCGCCTGAGTATCTATCCACTGGGACAGAAAAATCCGATGTTTATGGGTACCGGGTGATGCTTCTGCAACTCATCACCAGGCAACAGGCCTATGATCCTACTCGCCTTGCCAATAATCACAACGATGTCATGTTGCTTGACTGGGTAAGAAATATGTTTATGGTCATGATGAGGCTAGTTTCCTTGTCGATCAAATCAGCTTTTTTCAACATGCATGGTAACAAAGTTCATATTTTTTTGGTTTTATGGTTGAGTTTGAAATCGTTTAGGTGAAAAGACTTTTAGAAGATAAGAAGTTGGAGATGCTGGTGGATGCGGATTTAGAAGGTAACTATTTGAAGGATGGAGTAGAAGAGTTGATTAAGATAGCTCTATTGTGCACACAAGTCACACCGTCAGAGCGACCCAAGATGTCAGAAGTTGTGAAAATGCTTGAAGGTTTTGGTTTAGCTGAGCGGTGGGAGGAGTGGCAGAAAGGAGAGATTTTCCTACAAGATTTCAGCCAGGAACACAATCTGAATATCGATTGTGTTATTGTGGATTCCACTTACATCCTTAGCAACGATCAATTATCTGGTCCTAGATGATCGGATCCCTGTTTGGTTTTTCGATGTGGATACATTTTTACTTTTTATGTAAAACTAGGTGTGAAACCCGTGTATTACACGGGTTGATTAAGGCTGTATTTGGCGCGCCACAGCTAGCTGATAAGCTAGCTTATTTTCGAGCTTTTTTATGTTGTTGTGTTTGGTAAGCCAAAAAGTAGCTTATAAGCTAGCTTTTTGAAAAGCTACTTAGACTAGCTTTTTAGGAGCTTTTTTAAAATTTTCCAAATACACCCCTTAATTAATTATAGAAACACATATTCTTACATGTCCTTTTATGTAATTTTATATATTTCAGCTAGCTTTTCAGCTAGTTTTACCAAACGTTATTTTTTATCAGCTAGCTTTTCAGCTATCAGCTAGTTTTTTATTTCTTTTCAGCTAGTCCGCCAAACATAGCCTAAAAAAATATATCAAAGTTTAAATATTAAGAATTTTTTAAAATAAATTTTCAAAATAAATAGACATATTCTAACGAATAAATAGAATCACTATTAAGAAGATCATCCATAATATCAATGATTGTTTTGTCATATTCATTAAATTTAGATAAAACTCTAAAATTGGTCCCTATGGTATTCAAAAAACTTTGGATAGGGTCCAAAAGTTTTCCAACTTGCATGAAAAGTCCAAAATCTAAGTTTTTCTGGGTTTTTAGTCCCTTATACACTTGAAAAGTCGATTTTGCCCTTTTCATTTCTTTTTTCTATTTTATTTATTTATTTTGGTATTTAAATAACTAAAAGTAAAAAATAGAAAATAAAATCTCTCTCTCTCCCTCTCTCTCTCTCTTTCATATCCACACATATAGAGAATCGATCTCTCTAAAACCCCATGTGTGTAAACGATCCATCAAATTAATCTCTAAAGAAACCCATCTTTATGGATCGATTTTCAATCCATCATGGTGGTGTTTTGGCTGCATCAAATCGTTAGTGATGTTACAACAGTGGTGGTCGTGTTATGGCTCTTCGATTAAGGGACCTGCGTAAGGAAGGCACCCATTTCTGCTCTGAAAGACGAAGGCTGGTGATGGTTTGGTTGCAATAAATGGTGAACGTTGTTTGTTCGGTCAAGATGATGGTGCCGGATACAATTTACTCAACACTTCATTTAAGATCAGATCAAAGTTTCTATTACATTCAAGATGTCGCAGCCCCAAACCCAATTGCTCAACACCACCAGACCACCACCATCAAAGAACTTAGGGTTCTAAAGAACAGACCAGAAATTAGGGCCCGTCACTATATCTCAAGCTTTTCTTGACGGGCAGAGATATGTCCTTTCATCTTTGTCTTCTGTTTAAAATGTTTGAATCGGACATTCAAAACCCTAAAATCGAGCCTTGAAATATGAGAAACAAATTAATCTAGTATGAGAAAGACAAGGGGAGGGTATGGAATGAGAAAGACACGTCGGGATGTGGGTTGAAATTACATGCATCGTCTGAGAGGGGTCATCGGCGAGGGAGGCGTGGCGGAGTAACTGCTATTAAAATCGACATTATTGATGTTAATGTGTTGAAATCCTTGGTGGTGTTGGGTTTGTGTTGCAATGAGTGTTTATGTAGGTTTTTGTTATTTTTGGATCACTAATTCTTACATGTATAAGACGGAAATGAGAGACAGAGAGAAAAGGAAGGTGTTTTCCATTTGATTTTTTTTTTTCAGCTGCACATGATTTGCAGGTGAAAGGTGAAATGAAGAAGACGATAGAAAGAGACCTCGATTTAAAGAGAGAAGAAGGGTACAATGAAGAGAGAAGTATGTGTGTGTGTGTGTGTGTGAGAGAGAGAGAGAGAACAGTGGGGTGGATGGAGGATAATTATTTTTTTTCTTTTTATTTTTAAATTAAAATAGTATTTGAATAATTATAAAAAATACAAAAAAGAAAACAAAAGGGTATAACCGTCTTTTCAAGTTTTTTTGGATTAAAACCACAGAAAGTTTTTGATTTTGGATATTTCATGCAAGTTGAAAACTTTTTGGACCCTATTCAAAGTTTTTCGAAAACCACAAGGACCAATTTTGCAGTTTTGTCTTAAATTTATTATCATATTCAATGTATTTTAATATATCATATATATTTTTTAAGATTCTTTGCATTTATTATCAGATTAAATATATTTAATACTTTACATATATAAATTTAGTATTATGTGTCATATTAATTGATTTAATTAAAAAAACCACAAAATGACATGTGGATTTAAATTTAATCAAAAATTTTACAAAATTACATGTGGCAAATTTAATGAGAAGATGACATTTGGCAAAATGATTTTTATTTATTAGGATAGATGTGTGCTAGGAGTTTTAGCCGATACATTATATATAGTTTGGAGGTTGCTTTCAAAGCACCAATATATTCACCAATAAATATGTGTGTGCTATAGTCGTCGAGAAAAAACTCATTTTCTATCGATTAATATCAAAGAAAAAAAAAATGCCTTTTCTCTTCTTTTTTTGGATGTGAAAAAAATGAATAAAGTAGCATTTGGTATGTAGTAAACAAAGTTGGAATGAGTTTCAATATAACATGATGTTTGAATAACAACAAAGAAGACTGGCATACGGAAAAAAGCGAGAACATCTTTATGATGGCATAAAGAAAATAAATTATTATGCCATCGGTCTTAATCCTATGAATTTGTTTCAACACCACACAAGCTCTAATAAATCATATATTTATTTGAGATTTGGTTTCTCAATTTTTATCACCCTAAATTCTAATACAATGTACACCTAAAGTTTGTTTATTTTAAAAGATTTGGCTATACAGCATGTGGAATTCCTATTAACAAGATGTATCAACAACATAGTTATGCAAAACTATACACTAACCAAATTAGGTGAGTACATTACATTAAGTCATCTTAAACCTAAGTTACTTCCTTAACTATTTAAATAGTACATGCCCCAACAATCATGGACTATGAAAACAACGATCATTGAACATAGCTTTGAGCATCTAAAATATAATTCTTGAATATGCATCATTAGTACATCATAATATACTCCTAAGAAAGCAACAACATAATCAATTGTAACGGCCAATTCATCTATTAAATGAGAGGCGCATATGTTACAATTATATCCACAAAGCATCCCTAAATGGACCAAAAACAAAGTACTAACCTTTATCCCGGATTTCCCCTAATTCCATAACCATGAAGATTCACCATATTTGGGTAGCCTCATCATTCAATCATTATGAAAGCTTACCACATCTAGGTAGCTTCACCATTTAATCATCATGAAATTTTACCATGTTCAAGTTTCCCCACCATTCAATGGTACATGGAACGATCATTATCTTGATAACCCCCACATGGTATGTACCAAGAACATCCAATACAACTATTCATTCTAGCACTATATATATTATATATATATATATATATATATATATATATATATATATATATATATATATATATATATATATATAATATATATATATATATTGAATGGCGGTTTGGTGTAGCGGGCTGTGACATTCAATAGGGTAGGATGCCATAACAGCCAACGAACCCGGGTTCTATCCCTCACTAAAGAGATAACAACAACATCCTTAACAATTCAGTTTCCCAATAAGAGGCTTCACTGCTTTGGACGCAAATAGAACTCAACACCATTCCCCATAAACCCCTGGGAGGGGAAATTTGGAGTGTGCCTCCACCTAGTTGAACTGGACCTCATTGATCATTCTTGCACTATATTACTTAATGTTATTTACATGAGTACTATTTACAACTCTTTTCTTTAATATATATGTGATTGGCATCAATACAAGATCCATCATCTCCTACTAGTAACTAGTTATAGCAATATGTTGTATTTTCTGTTGATCCACAATGATATAATTGATATCCATGTATACAGAGTGCCTATCTCTATTTATGGGATTTATATCAACAATAAAGGTGTATAATCTAGTTTCTATAACAAACCTTCCTCATATTGAGAAAGGGAATAATCATCGGCTAATATACCCCCACAGTTGAATCGGGAAAATGACGAATGTTGAGATTGTTTTTGAAGTCTTCAAAGAGGACGAGAGGCAGGCCCTTAGTGAAGATATCCGCAACTTGATAGCGAGAAGGAATGTGAAAAATACAAACTTGACAACGAGCTACTTTTTCCCGAACAAAATGAATATCGAGCTCTACGTGCTTGGTATGTTGGTGTTGAACTGGGTTACATGATAGGTAGACGATGCTAACATTGTCGCAATATACCAACGTGGCTGTAGTTTGCGGAATATGAAGCTCAAGCATTAAGTTTCGAATCCAACATGTCTCAGATACTATATTTGCGACTCCCCTATATTCCACTTCTGCACTTGATCACTTGATCGTGAGAACGTTGGCTGGCGTTTGGAGGACCATGAAATGAGGTTGTCTCCTAGATAGACACAATAACCCGATGTGGAAGGTCTTGTATCCGGATAACCTGCCCAATTAGCGTATGTATAGGCTAGAAGTTTCTTGGGTGGTGATTTTGTGAGTAGTAACCCATGAGTGATTGTACCTTTAATGTGTCGTAAAATGCGTTTTAGAGCATTGAAATGGGATGTGCAAGGAGCATGCATGTGCATGTGATATGTGCATATTTAGCTATATATTTCGTATAGAATTTTAATACTTCTTGGCTAATTTATTGCAATTTATGGACAAAAGGTACTTAATTAAGCCTAAAAGATGTGCTCAGGAGTAAAAGGAAGCGGGAAATGTAATCGGGAGCTTGGGGATTAAAGAAAGAAGAAAAAGAGTCAAAATCTTGAAGAACTCGGTGAGTTGGATGTCTACTCGATGTGTCCACACGAACATTCGCGAAGCAAATAGAAGTCCTTGCCACAGGTTTTTAATGAGGGACTTGGCGAGTTGGTTATTAGATTCGTCGAGTAGCCTCTGTTTTCAGAAATCTATAAATAGGAGTCAATTGCCCAAAACCAAACCCTTCTCTGGAACCCTTGGGGATTAGATTACGACTGGAGGTGCAGCTGGAAGCTCTGGAACTCGTGAAACAACCCTAGCCTTCAATTTTGAGAAGATAAAAGGCAAGTTAAGTTTACTCTTTACTTTAATCTTTTGTTTGAACTATGTGTGAACTATTAGATTTTGTTTTTGAGCTACTTTATGTTGTAATCACGAGCTAAA